TCTGCCTACCAGAGTTCTCGCTAGGCACACAGTAGGTGTGCTCACGGAAGCCTCACTGAGAAATAGCATTGCGTAGGAGAATGAACAGTATGAGTTGAAAGAACGAGGCTTTATTCCTATTTTGTTCATATCTATGTGACCTTTAAAAAGTTAATTAACCTGTCTGTGTTTCATGTTCCTCATCTTCAAACAGAAGCCAGGAGTTTGTTTGATTTTCCCCTCTGTACTCTTTCTGGGAGCTGAGCTTATTGGCAATAAGGTGTCATAAGAGGTTGTCTGGTGCCATTGCTCAGGCCTCCCCCATAATTGCGGGGTGCACGTCACACATTCGGTTGTCCCTAGATTGTGGACACAAAGGGCCAGAGAGATGATTGCTTTGGTCCTGGAGTCCCAGGGGTATGTTTGCTTCTTCTCACCCTATAAATGAACAGAAGGCTGCCTGCTCTCCATTGGCTTGGGATATCCTGTGCTTAGACCTTGTATTGTAGGCTCTGGCAGGAACATGACGAGGGCCATGCTGAGAGAATGTGGTGGCATCATCATGGCGAGAGAGCACAGTCAGAATAATAATAGCTGACATTTACATAAAGCTCACTTATAAAGTACTTCACTGAGTCATATTATTTGTTCCCCATCATCACAGGATCATGGAGATAAAGCTGGAAGGAACATTAAAGACTCTGTCTGATCCAACTCCCTCATTTTACAGAGGAGGAAACTGAGGCCACCGGAAAGGATGAGTCAAGGCCACCCAAGGAGCAAGCATCAGAGGAGGGATTTGAACCCAGGTCTTCTGACTCCAAAGCTGGTGCTCTTTCCAGACACTGCTCAATCCCCACTTTACATATGAGGAAAACTGAGGCTCAGGGTTAAATGACTTGTCCAGGGTCACATTGCTAATTAAGTGTCAACCCTGGAACTTAAACCCAGGTCTTTTGATTCTAATTTCAACATGTTTTATTCTATACCACAGCTGCCCTCCCCCCCCCAAGGAAAATTATACTTTCCATTTCTCTAACATGTCAAGGTTTACAAAGAACTTTTCCCACAGCAACCCTGCATGGGAGGTGGTGCAAATATTGTTATACCTATTTCACAAAGGAAGAAACTGAGGTTCACAGCCTTGAAGTGAGGTGTCCATTCTTTTTTTTTTCTTTTTGGTGTGGGGTTAAGTGACTTGCCCAGGGTCACACAGTTAGTAAATGTCCAGTGTCTGGTCTGAGAGGGGATTTGAACTCAGGTCCTTCTGACTCCAGGGCCGGTGCTCTATCCATTGTGCCACCAAACTGCCCCTAAGCGTCCGTTCTTACAATGAGCCCTGGCCCTCCCATTAGGGCCTTGAAGTAGCCATCTCACAGGTTCTAGATGACCCTCTTCCCCCTCCAGTTCCAGGATGATTAGGACTGTTGTGGCCTAATCCCCTAATCCTTGAGCTACCAGAGGCATGTATTCAAAGGGTGAACGGGAGGGCACAAGGGTCCTAGCCTGACAAAGGAGGAGAGGATAAACAGGCCCCATAATTGGTATTCTGACTCCTGACTTAATCCCTCCCTCTGGTGCAAAATGACATTCTCTGTGTGGTGCATTTTCATCCTACTCTAGGTCTCTGGTGAAAGCTAGTGAATTTGGAGCCTAAGAGGTGGCTCGAGTGCCCAGTGTACTGGGCTGTGAGGCAGAGGGCCTGGGTTTTAATCCCGGGGCATGGTAAGGCCACAGAGATGACCTCTTTGGATCTCAGTTAACCTATGGATAAATTGGGGCTGTGTCCATGTGACAGCCACCTCACAGGGAGTAGAGTCATTAGGGTATAGAAATGCTTCACAATCCTCAGAAGAAAGGCATTACAGGGACATTCTGCTCATTAGAGAAAACGAGAATTAACATAGCACCCGAGATGGGAAATGAACAGAGAAAATAATGAATGCTTTTTTAAAGGCAGGCTGCATGGCTGTGACTTTCTTGAGCTTTGGGGATTGAGGAAAAGGTTATATGCTTCGAGACCTTTCGCTTGCTTTCCCTGTGAAAGTCATGTGTTTTTTTGTTTTTTTTTTCTATGCTAAGCAAGGTTCCCATCGACAATAACATACATACAAAATTTGTATTCTGAGAAAGCAAAGAAGTCACTGGTTCAGAGGATTGGTCAGGACTCCCATATGCAGTGGAAACCCCCACCCCACAAAATTTAGAGTCAGAGGACTTGTGTTCGAATCCCAGCCCTGCCAATTACTGCCTGTGTGACTTTGGGCAAGTCGCTTAACCTCTCTGGGCCTCAGTTTCCTCATCTGTATAATGGATTAGACGACCTCTATAGTCCTTTCTGGCTATGATCCTCTGACCTCAAGAAGTCATCAAGCCCACTGTTCTGTCTCCAGACAAGAGTTGGGCCTAAACATTGCTGACTGACAGACGTTGAACACTTCTTTGGGAGGAAATGTACAGCTTCCCTTGGTAAACTGTTCTGGTATCAGGAAATCCTTTGTGTTGGAGGAACAATGGATGAGAATGGAAAGAGAGCTGGATTTGGCATCAGAGGATCTGGGTTCAAACCTCAGCTCGTTGCTTACCGTCTAAGTTACCTTGGATGAGTGACTTCTATTCTCCAGGCCTTGGTTCTCTCCTCTATATAACGAGGGGGTTAGATTGGATGATCGAGCTCTAGAGCCCATAATCCTATGCCTAATCTACATCCCTCCTGCTGAGATCAGAAAATCATTTCAGTTTAGGAAATTTCCTCTTTGAGAATTCTAGCTTTAGCAAAAGCAAGGAAATAAGGAGCCAGTGGGAGAAAAAGTAACAAGAGTTTGGTGAGGGGCTCCAATTCCAGTGGCCAGACCCAGGGAGCTGGCCAGTAGGAAAGAACCTGGCAGGTAGGACTTCTTTGGAAGGATCCAGGCTCCAAGGCGGGCCCATCATGCACTGTGATGGCTCAGCTGGACTTATCCTTGGGCCCATGAGAAAAGATCATTCGTGGGGTTGCTGCTGCTAACAAAGGGCTTATTATGGAGAGCTTCACCTACATTATTTCATCTGATCCTCCCATAACCCTGTGAAATGACAATAATAATCATAGTAGAAACAACAGCTCCCATTTATATGGAGCTGTTGGGTTTCCAAAGCGCTTTACACACATATTCCCTTTGAGTTAGGGAGGGCAAATATCATCGCAGATGAGCAAACTGAGTTTGACAGGTTTGTGTGACTTGTTCAGCTGGGAACGAGGCAGAGGCGAGACCCGGACATCTGCCCCCAAGCTCACTCTCCCTCGCCACATGCTCCAGGTCTCAGATTAGGGAGTCCATGTAATAACACCCACAAATGGCATTTGTGCAGAGCTTTGAGGTTACACACGTGATCTCCCTGGAGTTTTGCAGCAACGCTGGGTACTACAGGGATCTTTATCCCCATTTTATAGATGAGGACAGACAGAGGCTAAGTGACTTGCCCAGAGTCACACAGTAAGGAAATGTTAGAGTCAGGCTTTGAACTGACCGCCAAATCTGGTACTCAAGTCACTATACTACTAATTATACTCTGGATCTCAGTTTCTGCATCTGGAAAATGAGGCAATTACATTGGATGACTCCTACTATTTATTTGAAGAAGCTGTTTGTCTGTCATGGTTGGAGAAAAGCTGGAAAAGACTGAGGGAGAAGATTGGGAAAACTTTCTTGAAGGAACTATTATGATCTTTAACTTGCAAAACGGATGAAGGGAATTCTTTTAAAGAGATTTTCTTTGTTATTCGGAATGAATTGAGTGGTATGGGACTGTGCTCTTAGAAGTGAAGGCATTGGCACAGCTAAAATATCGTAAATCATTATCTATGTCTTTGTTTTATTCATAGTTTCATCGTTGATATAGTATGTATTCAGTAACTTTAATATTTATCTAATCGTAGCAGATCAAGGGATTTAATAGAGTCTTAAGTAATACAGAGTAACTAGGTTTCTACAGTTTATTAAATAAATAATATTCTATGAACTAGTGGGGGCTCTAAGCTTAATTGGTTAATTGAAAGAGATGTTGACATTTTATTTTATTAATGAGGAAATATACAATATAAATGTTAATTAATGAGGAAATATACAAATGAATGAGAAAATATACAAATGGGCTGCACCCTGGAGCTCAGAATGATAAAATTAAATATGGGAATGAGTCAAATCTGAGGCGCTAAAGCTAGGCTTTTATGATAAACACCTGACATATACTGGATTCTGCCCCTAGGCTTGGTCAACTGCCTAAGAGAATAAACAGGAGGCAAGAGACCGGAAGCTCAGAAGCTCCCCAGGAGATGACTTGCTCTAAGACAATAGGCAAGTGGCTTTACCTCTCTCTGGCTTGCTCATCTGAAAATGGGAGTGATCAAAGGCTGGGGTGTTGATTCACCCAGGAAAGTGATTTATGACAATTAATGATTAACTAGGAAGTGATTCTCAAACACAGGGGGGCTACATAAAGGCATATGGCTTAGCGGTAACATAGTGTGAGGATCCCTAAGACATGTTTTTAGAAATGGAAAACTCTGATGTTCTCATCAGAGGGACAGCAGGATTTTCATCCTGCCTGCCAGTCATGGGGAGGTAGAGGAAGGGGGATGATCTGGCATTCAGAACAAGTAGCCTCCTGGGAGGAGGTACTTGCTTTGTGCCTGGGGGTACTGGTGAGCTATTTAGAACAGCCGCTGGTGCCCAGAGGGAAAGATGGGAGTCTGGCTTATCAGGTGGACATCTTGGTGCCACCCTCTGGTGACTTCTTGGCAGTTGTCCATCTGGCACAAAGGGGGCTGCTTCATGACCTCTAGAGCTACCCCCTCCCCACTCGAAGGTTTTTTTCTCAGGCAGGGTCCTTGCCACTAATAATCTCAAACTTTTCTTAGTTACTCAGGTATATCATGGATAAGTTGTTCAATTTATAGGATGATTAATAGGCAATTCATTCTTACATGGAAAGAGAAAGCACATGTGGTCTGACCAAAGGAGTTTACAGAATCTTCTTACCTTTTTCTACTGTGTTGGCCACAGTCACTGTGAAAAGAAAGAGGAAAAAAATGAGTGTTATTTAAATAGCTCTTATCCAAATGCCCATGTCATTAGTCTTCTCTTTAAGGGAGAACTGGGAACCTGCCAGCCTGCTTGAATGAGGCAGGGTAAGGATCATCCACCCATAATCTTCCCTCTCATGATTGAGGAATCCTCATTCATTCGTTCATTCATTCAACCAGCTAACCAATCCTGGTATTCCATGCTTCAAACAAGCAAAAGAGGTAGTTACATGAAAATCTGAACCGAAAGGGGGCATTGACTTGAGTCTTTCAAGGATCTGTGATTTCCCTGGCATGGGAACACCTTCCATTGATGGAGATCAAACATGAGGCCTGCAGGCCACAAGCAACACCTGGAGTAGAGTATGGCAAAACAGATTAAAGTGTAACTGAGAAAGGCTTAACAAAATAAAAATACAGTAGAATATAGATAATGTTAATATGTGATTTTCTAAGTGAGTATGCAGCCACTAGGGATTTTTATGTAGTGGCCTCATTTCTATTTGAGTTGACATCACTGCTTTAATGGATTGATGCGGGAGATGCTATGGGAAAAACTCATCCTCCTGTGGCCAAGTCACTGGAGCTGAGTCTCTGCCAACTGAGCTTCGCTAGGCCTATGATGCTAGATCCTCTCTGTCATGGGGTTCCTGGAGGGCCCAGAAGCTGTCTGGGGCCAGCTGCACCCACCAGAGCTTGTGTTCTACTGGTATCGATGTGGAGAACCCAGGGCTGCCTGGAGGGACCAGGAGGCACTGGGGGAGGATTCCTCGAGGCTACCAGGCCAGTTCACGTGTGCTTATTCACATTCCTGAACACTTCATTGCTGGGTTCCTTTAAATAGCAAGCTAGCTGGCTCCCTGGTATACCTGAAGTCTAAATCAATTTACTGAACAACTTTTCAAGAATCTATTTTATCATGGCAAGTGAAGCACACCTGTTTTAGTTCCTCACTGCCTCAGTGCTCTGTGCTAGACTATGTGCTGAGGGGCAGCCTGGTGCCCTGGACAGAGACCTGGTCTTGGAATTAGCAAGAGCTGGGTATAAGTTCCACACTGACACATCTTGACTCTCTAACACTAGCAACCACCTTAAGCTTTTAGTGCTCCAGGTGGCTCTCATCAGCCCATGGACTGGTAAATCTAGAGCCAAGAGACCTCATAGCCCCCCCCACCCCAACCTTATTTTACAAAGGAGGAAACTGAGGCCCAGGGCGGTAACAGTCAAAGGTGGGACTTGCTATAAGGCTACAAGTTACACAGGAATCATTGATGGGATGGAAGAGGGAGAGGGACTTTCTACCCCTACAGATTGGGACCCAAAACTGGACTACATGGTGAGAAGTAATCTTAACTGTGACCTGATAAATCAGGATTTTTTCCCCCCTAAACAACGGCCAACATTTATGGGTACTAATAACAGCAATAAACTTCAAACAGGGAAGGGGACAGTATTCTAGGGCAGGGGTGGGGAACCTGCAACCTCGAGGCCACATGTGGCCTTGAGGACACAGGTTCCCCACCCCTAGACTAGGGGTTTCTCCTGAAGCAAGTTGCCCAGCTTCCCCCTCCCCTCATATTCAGGTCTTTTTCTTTTTTGAAAAGGCCCCACAAGACTTACCAACCAACCCCCATGGCCAGCCCTGGTAATGCCCAACTTGGCAGACCTTGGTTAAAACTGTCCTGCCTGTCTTTGCCCTCCTGCACTTCCTGCTCCTACTCGAAAGTAATTACAGCTGGCTCTCCCAATGGGAAGGAGCAAGCTTTCCAGATAATGTCTTCTCTCTTTTTCAAA